GGAGATCAAGTTTCAAAACAGGTTGAAAAATATATCTATATATCTGAGGACTGTTTGTTTGATAGAATTATTAGCCAACCACAAAGAAGCATTCATTCAGGGAAAACATTCATTGAAATGTTTTCAAATTAAAAGAAAGGACGCAACTCCGTTATAAAAAGGACTGTCTTTTCTGCAACACACACCCTGTTTGAATAAGTATCAAAACATTTATTTCTTGCCATTGATGGTACCCAGGTAGTTTCTGATTTATGACCACAATTGAGATTAGAATTCCTGTTGCTAAGCTGTTAAGTGAGCTGCACCCAATTTTAGGACCATTTCTGCCTTCCAAGCTTGGTAGTATCTATGGTCTAACCTCCCTTAGATCATAAAAGGCGATGGATCGTGGATTTTGGTTTCTTTCCTTCATTTATTCAATAATTTGATGAGAGCCCTAAGTAAGGCTTAGGGTGAGGCCTGCTGGTCTCAGACAAATTGGCCATCAACAGTCACACAGAGATAAATTACATCTACATACCACTCAAAAGAGTCAATCAATAAGCCAAAAAGGAAACAAAAAGATCAAAACACCTTCCTTCCAGCATCCAGCAATCAACACCCAAGATAAGCAGAGATTACACGAGACTACCAGTCAAGAAGTCAACAATACTCCAATCTAGGAACTACCGATTCAGACAAACAATACAACAGTAAACAGAAGCCTAATCAAGGAATCACCCAGACCACACCCGCTAACACTAACAAGAGAAGTCCTGTGTATATAAACAGGGAGTAAACCCCATTCTTTTCTAGCACTGATGATGGCACCTAGTTGGGTCATGAAACATCTGCAAGAAAACCACAAAGCTCAGAGAGCACCAAGGACCCCATAATTCAACTCTGAGCTACAAATATTCTCTTCTGTTGATCCATAGGTCCTTTTCCTAGAAGACTAGGTTGGGCCTTCAACACACACCACATCACCCTCAGTGACGGAGGTGGACTTTCTTCCCATTCCGTGAAGGTCCTTATTTGTAATCATTAAATTAAAAGGTCTGCTGGCCAGAAGATCCATTTTGCACTGCTTTAGAAAAGACACATCGAATGAAATATTGGGGGCCCTAATGACACCTATGGACCTTTGGTTCACCCAACAGAGAAAACCACACTCCTTTTTCTTGTGGTCACATCAGTGGGTGGAATCCGGGGACAATTGTGGGGTGAGAATCCATGCTGATCAGGGATACAGAATGAGAATAGGATTTCTAAAGGGGTGGGCAGTCTTCCCCCCCCCCCGAGAAACTTCTTGAAAAGGAACAGAAAAGTCTACAACACTGGATTATTGTGAGTTTGGCGCCACTGTGTGGTTCAGCATCAAAGTGTCTGCACAATTTTGTATAAATATGCAGAATACACTCCTCCTCCTCGTTTTTCTAATAAGGGGGGGGGAAAGTCCATTTTAGCATGCCTCATCAGTGGCTGAATTAACCTAAATTAAGTCTAGGTCAGTGGTTTTCTTATTTGTTACTCATTATTTCTTACTTTTCTTCGGCTCTCTGCTTCTTCAGCAACTTTAAATCAACGCTGCTCGTATGATCCTTGGTGACATAAATGGGACTATGACAAATCACCCAGCAGATGGCACTGAAGGCCTATTAAAGCCACTGGTGGATCATACATCTCAATCATTTCCAGAGTCCACCAAGCCTAAAATATAAGTTCCTTCTTTGTAAACTCTGCGAATTGGACCCCAGGGAAACCAAATTGCAAATGAAAGATATTTATACCTAAATAAAGAGATTCAGCGCGTCTGCCAAGTCACCCTCCCTCGGTAGTCCCTTATATCCGTGTTTCTCAACCACGGCTGCTGGAAGAGGGGGTGGACTTCAACTCCCAGAATCCTCTGCTGGCTGGGGAATTCTGGGAGTTGAAGTCTACCCATCTTCCAGCTGCAGAGGTTAGGAAAGACTGCCTGATATCATTCTGCACTTTTGCTGTGGTCCACCGGCAGCCTGCGGAGCTGGCAGCAGAGTCGGACAGTGAGGAGGCTGGGAGGAACATGGTCAGTCCTGGAGTCTGGGGAAGACTCAGACGAGAGCTCTGCTTTGGAGGCAAAGAGGGGGACAGGGCCATCTGGGAGTGATGTGCTGCCTCCGGAGCCTCCAGAGTCTGACGCCAGCGAGGCCGAGGAACAGGGGGAGCCTGTTCCCAGTATGCACATGAGCAGAGCTGCCAGAAGGCAAGAACAGTTAAAACAAAAGGGACAACTCGGGAGTAAGGCTTGGAGGTGATTGGCCCCTCCCATAAGACATAAAGGTGAAGCAAAGGCACATGAGCCTTTGCAGGAAGCAACTTTGTTTGTGCTGGTCAGTTTAAATTCTGAAGCTCCGTTTTGACTCTGTGCTCCGTGTGGCCTTGCAAAGCTAATTGCCGATTAGGTCTTTGGCAGCGTGTCAAGGGAGATAAAGGTGGGTACTTATCAGCCTTATCCCGAAGGACTGTCACAAAACTATTTGTGACTCATTACGGGCTGTGAATGAACAGAATTCATAGCCGTTGAAATAAAAAGAGGGTTTTTGGGATTAATTGTGTGCTTTTTACTGCCTCGGGAAGCCTATGTCAGAACAACTGTCTCATTTTTTTTCATCCTGTAATGTATCCCTTCAATAATAGAAATATAAGAAATTACAATGCAATAGGAGACCATAGGTCAACTTTCTGCCCAGATCTTCTCCTTGTCCACCCCTCAACTGAAAACGCCATAAATCTGAAAATTAACCAATGGTCTATGGAGTTTCTCAATCATCCAGGTCATGGTTGAAGAAGATTCTTGGATTAGAAGTGAATCCTTCTTTTTTTTTTTTTTTTTTTTTTTAAGGAAACAAAAACCCAACAAAGTGCAGTTGCCTTTTGGAAAAGCACCTTTGGGACACCCATCTATGGTCTTAGGGATGAAATCCCGCCCGGACAAGCAATACAGCATCCAAGCACAAGGGAACCAGAATCGCCAAGGACAAAGCAAGGGGAGAAACTCAAGTCAAGTGTTGACAGCTCCATTCTACTTTTCGCTTAAGTCAACAAGCTTAAAAACATTTCTTATCAAACAGTTGCAGGATAAAAACATGGAAGAAGAAAGCAATTGTAGCTACTCCACTTCTGGTTTCACCACACTAAGTTGGAAGAGTGCTTAATATCTCCTTGAATCACACACAACTCAGTCTATACGCACAATGCCCTCATCGCAATCTTAAAAGGAACCCACACCTGGACATTAAAAGCTTTCCGACAGCCAGTACAATGGCTGTGTAAATAGACATGAAAGAGAAGCCACAGATATGGCGATTACGTAATATCTACTTATCTGAATGCAAAAATCAGGTTTGCTTTCAAGAGCCTCCTTCTCTTCCCACAAGGTGTGGGGCCGAAAACCACAAAGATCTTTTAAAAGCATGGCAGAGATCATGTGAAGAGATTTCACACTCTTTACAAAGTTGGAAGTCAAGGACATCAGCAAAATGACATTCTTGGAAATTCAGGACTAAGAAAAGGAAATACATGAAGGAGGATATTTGTAGCTTAGGGTTGACATGAGAGGTACCTCCTTGGTGCTCTCTGAGCTTGGTTGTTTTCTTGTAGACATTTCATTACCCAACTAGGTTAACATCATCAGTGCTAGTAGGGAGTGGGTTTTGCTCCCTGTTTATAGTCAAGTAGCTAGCCCTGTCAGTGTTGGTGGGATTGGTCTTAGAGGTTGTTGAGTTGGGCTGTTTACTTTTTTGGCATTGCCTTGATTGGGATATTGTTTACTTCTTGATTGTTGGTCTGATGTTTCCTAGTTTGGGTAATGAAACATCTGCAAGAAAGCAAACAAGCTCAGAGAGCACCAAGGACCCTTCAAGGAAAAATATATATATTTACATAGCAAGGAGTTTGGGATTTGCTATCAACAGTTCTGATGGCAGCCAAGGGGACAGGACATATTCATGGGGAATCATGATATAATGCAGGGGTCTCCAACCTTGGCAACTTTAAGACTGGTGGACTTCAACTCCCAGAGTTCCTCAGCCAGCAAAGCTGGCTGAGGAACTCTGGGAGTTGAAGTCCACCAGTCTTAAAGTTGCCAAGGTTGGAGACCCCTGATATAAAGGACTGAATATGTATGGTTTCTGGCCATTTCCTTCCATCATGGATGGCAGAAATCAAGAGGGAACGGGGAGTTGCAGACTTTGGCCTTTCATAATGAGCTTCCCAAATATACCCAGTTGGATCCAGAAGGCTTGACTTAATGGGTCAAGAGCCTGAGATTGCCCCCCAGGGTTGCCTTGGGCTCAAAAGATTTGAAGTCTACGTGTTATTCAGCAGTGTTATCTGCAGAGAGGAGGCCAAAATCGCTGTTTCTCCAGAGCGCTGAGTTATATAAACAAACATGGGAAGAACATCTGTGAATGAGAGTGTTAAAAGGATATGTGATCATTTTACGCACACAACATGTTTCCTCGGTTTTACAGTACAATCGCTCCGTGTGTATTCTGACATGAATCCAACGGGGTGTTACTCATTGCGAGTAAATGATTATAGACACATTTTTTTTCCATGTTTGTATCTTCTCTTCCAGCGAGTACAGCCGCATTGTGAAGTTGGCCTGTGGGCATTACATGGACTCAGCTTGGATCAAAACATCAACAGCCTCCTGGCCTTCAGCCTTATATCAAAAGATGCCTTCATAAATAAATTGAACCCCAGCCATATCTTCCATCTAGAAAGATAACTCCAACTATGCTTTGAATCACTAAAAATAACTTCCAAGAACATGCCTGATCCTCTCCAGATGTGGACAAGAAGAGAAACCTAGACTTACAGGAAAAGATTGTGTTTATCTATAAAAAAAAAAGAAGTCCAAAGAAATGCACAGAAAATATTTACATTCCTGGTGATTTTCTCTCATTTTGGGCTATATGAAGCTGTGGGAATCACACGGAAGAGGAAACTTCCAACTTTGAGGTTGATGTCCTTCTTACCTTGCATTGCCCCGACACGCAGATGGAGGTTCCATTTTGATCGCATGGTGTCCCGTCGATAACTTTCTCCGCCTGCCTCACGTAGAAGCGATAGCCGACCGCTCGGCAGTTGAGTTCACATTTCTGAGTGCCCTTCACTGAAAGGAAGGCAGAAAGGGACAAAGTAGGACAAGACGCAAACACCAATATTTCCCCAAAACTTCTTAACATGGTTTCATTGTGCCAGCCCCATCATCAGCAGAATGAAATGATGGCACCAGGAAGCAAATATATATATTTTTAGGAGGAAGTGTCTAGGAACAGGATTTATGCAAGGATTCCGTTGGGATGTCAGATCAAATGACGTTCAATCGGATCCCCAAATGGAATCAACTCTCTGCATTGGAACCATGCCACTCAAAGTGGATGCATTTAAATGGAAAAGGATTTCAATTTAGAGCCATGGTGGCGCAGTGGTTAGAATGCAGTATTGCAGGCTGGCTCTGCTGACTGCCAGCAGTTCGATCCTGACTCAGCCTTCCATCCTTCCGAAGTCGATAAAATGAAGACCCAGATTGGTGGGGGCAATCTATAAACCACTTAGAGAGGGGTGTAAAGCACTGTGAAGTGGTATATAAATCTAAGGGCTATTGCTATTTCCAAGGCAGGCCTGCTGATAATGCTGTGTGAAAAAACAAACCGGGTTTCTCTCCTGTCCCACAATCTATTTTGGCAACTCTGGAGATAAGGAGTCATCGTCCTTTGCTTCTGGGTATCCTATATCCAATGACTAAAATACTTCAGACTGTTGGATTATTATCTCTCTGTTGACTTGCCACTGGTCACATTGGTTGGAATTCATGGGAACTGAGCTTCAAGTACATCTGGAGGACTCCAAGTTGTCCTATCTATCCTTGACCCTTCAGGATTAAGCTAATCCCATAAAATGCTCTCTTGAATGTTTCTTGAAACAAACCATGAACATGTTGGCAAGTTGCCTGACTGGTCCCACACTCCCACAGTTACCTCCCTCCTCCAGTTCTGTGCAAGCCCTCTTCTTTTCTCCTCCTCCTCCCCACCCCCAACGTCCACTAGCAGTGGTGACATCTCTCTTTCCTTTAAGCTTTAGAAACAGCTGGATGGGTTCTGGAAGAAAGCAGTGGTAAAGCCAGTTCTCTTTGCCAGAGATCTTGTAGTGGAAGAAGGAAAGGAGAAGGGATGATGGGAGCACTATTGGGGTTCTTAAAAAAACAACAACTGCTAATGACAGAGAAATGGAAGAGGGTTGACTGATCTGAGGGAGCTGAACTGTATCTGTGGCATCTTTATCAAGTGCAGTAGATGGAAACTAATCAAGGAGAGAAGCAACTTAGAACTAAGGAGAAATTTCCTGACAGTGAGAACAATTAATCAGTGGAACAACTTGCCTCCAGAAGTTGTCAATGCTCCAACACTGGAAATTTTTAAGAAGATGTTGGATAATCATTTGTCTGAAATACTGTAGGGTTTCCTACTTAAACAGGGGGTTGGACTAGAAGACCTCCAAGGTCCCTTCCAACTGTTTTCTATTCTATTCTATTCTATTCTATTCTATTCTATTCTATTCTATTCTATTCTATTCTATTCTATTATTTTCCATTCCATTCCATTCCATTCCATTCCATTCCATTCCATTCCAGTAAGGTGTCTAAAATAGAAAGTAAATCATCTGAACCATATGCAAAGCAAGTGGAACTCTTGCTGATGTCAAGCTTTCCAACTTCACTCACATATTTTCTACTAGGTTAATTTTTTTCCCCTCGAAATCAGAGCTGAGCATGAGATCTCTCTGCTTTGGGCTATGGTGGCATTAAGTATTTGGTTCAGAACATTGCAGAAATTTTAAAAAGAGAGAAGAAATAGAGGAACCGGATCTTCTTCAGAACTTCTCTAGAAGCAACACAACTTCTGCTTGGCCAGATTTCTTCATGGGCTGATATCGTGGCCAGGATTTGAATGAGGGAAGGCATGCCTCCAAGAGATCATTAAACTGTTTTGCAATCCCATACTACCAATTTAAAATCTATTACTAACAATATAAAACACCTAAGGGTTGCTTAAAAGATATGGTCATCTGATTTTACTTGGTTCTACTTTTTTCCTTTCCCAAGTTCGAGTCCGTAACCTTCTGTCCTTGCATTCATGTGTTAGATTTCTGCCCACACATGTGCTTCTCCTTTCTAATAGGCAAGTTTTCTGTTTCGTAATCAATTTCTTTGCAAGATATAATGTTTAATGTAGCAGATTCCTTGGAAAGCTCATACTACGCTAACCCCAAAACCTATCATCATATTCAGGGCGGTTTTGATTTCTCCCAAATGTAGTTTTGAGATATCTTGAGATGGATTTTAGCACGTGCAATGAAGAAGATGCTTGTTCTCACCACACTAAATTCACTTTTGGCAGCTGATCCTACTTCTCTTGGACAGAAACCCAGGCAGGATTAATTTTACAACCTTTGAAGCAACCATGAGAAATGAGCGTTATCTGTTCCTAAACTCCATCCTGATGCTCCCAATTTAACGGGGCAGTTCTAATTTTAAAAGCACATTCTTCCATATCGGTTTACAATCTCTTCAAGGACAGTTTTTCCTGAAACGTCCAGTTCAACATGACAACCAATTGCCCCCAGGACCTTCTCCCTCACATCAAGAGGGGTTGGGCCACCTTCCATCATGGAATAAAGGAATCCTAACAAAACGAAAGGCAACGCTCAAGCTACTCACATGAAGAACGGTTGCAGGAACTGGGTATGTCTCGTTTAATGAAAAGAGGGACTAGGGGAGACATGATAGCAGTGTTCCGATATCTCAGGGGTTGCTACAAAGAAGAGGGAGTCAAGCTATTCTCCAAAGCACCTCAGGGCAGGACAAGAAGCAATGGGTGGAAACTAATCAAGAAGAGAAGCAACCTGGGATTAAGGAGAAATTTCTGACAGTGAGAATAATTAATCAGTGGAACAACTTGCCACCAGAAGTTGTGGATGCTCCAACACTGGAAGTTTTCAAGATGAGATTGGACAACCATTTGTCTGAAGTGGTATAAGATCTCCTGTTTGAGTAGGAAGGGGGTTGGACAAGTGGTGAAATCCAATTTTTTTTACTACCGGTTCTGTGGGCGTGGCTTGTGGGCATGCCTTGGGGGAGTGGCAGAGGAAGGATACTGTAAAATCTCCATTCCCATCCCACTCCAGGGGAAGGATACTGCAAAATCCCCATTCCCTCTCCACTCCAGAGGAAGGATACTGCAAAATCCCCATTCCTTCCTCACTCCAGGGGAAGGATACTGCAAAATCTCCATTCCCACCCCACTCCAGGGGAAGGATACTGCAAAATCCCCATTCCCTCCCCACTCCTGGTGGGAAGGATATTGCAAAATCCCCATTCCCACCCCACTCTGGGGCCAGCCAGAGGTGGTATTTGCCTGTTCTCCAAACTGCTCAAAATTTCCGCTACCGGTTCTCCAGAACCTGTCAGAACCTGCTGGATTTCACCTCTGGGCTGGACTAGAAGACCTTAGAGATCCCTTCTAACCATGCTATTCTGCTAGACTTCATATCAATCTTGGTGATCCATGTCACAGCCAGATCAATGTTCCTGGGCCCAATGTTCAAGACGATTAAAGAATTAGAGGCATCTGAATTGGGGGATAGAACTGTTCCTCAAGCGAATACTACAAGATTCTGCCAGCCTCCCTCTTGACTTAATAGCAGATCTTCTTCTGAAGAAATCTATGAAGACTTTGCAAACCCCCGTAGACCCCATCCCTGAAAGTGGAAGTTTCAAGAGAGAGAATGTAGTCAGGAAAAGGATGGAAGGTTATCCAAGAGAGAAGCAACCTAGAACTAAGGAGGAATTTCCTGTCAGTGAGAACAATTAACCAGTGGAACAACTTGCCTCTAGAAGTTGTGGCTGCTCCAACACTGGAGGCTTTTAAGAAAAGACTGGGCAACCATTTGTCTGGAATGGTGTAGGGCCGTGATGGCGAACCTGTGGCACGGGTGCCAGAAGTGGCACGCAGAGACCTCTCTGTGGGCATGCATGCCTTCGCCAGCTGTTCTTGTGGTTTCTGGCACGCATATGTGTGCCAACCAGCTGGTCTTCGTGGGAGCCAAAGTGCTGGAAAATGACTTGAAAATGGCAAAAAAACCAGCCAAAAAACAGGCTGTTTTTTCAGGCCATTTTTCAGGCCATTGGGGGGGCTGTTTTCTGGCCCTTTTCTGGCTGTTTTTTAGGTCAAAAACAGCCCAAAAATGGCCTGAAAATGACCCAAAAACAGCCTGAAAATGGCCCCAAAAACGGCTAAAAAACAGGCATGCACACGCTGGCCAGCTGATCTTCGGGTTTCTGGTGCTCCGGCATGCGTGAAGACAAGCTGGCTGACACGCATGTACATGCCGGAAGCCTGAAGACCGGAACGTGCCTGCATGCACATGCATGTGTGCACCCTGGAGCGCCAGAAACCAGAAACCAGCTGGCTGGTGCACATGGTGTGCCAGCCAGCTGGTTTTTGGGTTTCTGGTGCATGTATATGCATGCACATGTACGGACGTTCCGGTTTGGGCATTCAGTGTGGAAAAGGTTTGCCCTCACTGGTGTAGGGTCTCCTGCTTGAGCAGGGGGTCAGACTAGAAGCCCTCCAAGGTTTTTTTCCAACTCTGTTATTCTGTATTCTGCAAATCTAATCCTTGATATAAAAATGTGTGGAAAAATACCTTTAAAAACATCACAGGTTAAACTACCCTTTAAGAGCCTCATCCTCTTCGTTAGGACATTTCTGAGCCAAGAAATTCTCATATTTCTTGTCTCCAATCTGTTGAATACTGAATCATGTTTCATAAATCACTGATCCTTTCTAATCTCTTTGGCTTAATTTATCTGCCATGCTTACTCTTGTTTCTCTTCGGGTCACATAAATCTTCATTGAGTTTGGGAAAGTCTTCCTGAATTTGTTCAGGCTTTGACATCTGTCTACCCTTAGCCCATCACTCATTCCAAATACATGCCACAGGAAAAAAAAGCACCAAAAAAATGATTATTAAGAGTTTATGGGAATGAGCCAGTAACATACCATTTGTTTACTGCTTTTAAGAGCATTCCATGAATAAAGTAGACATTAA